AAACACTGGACAAAATAACCGAGAGGAAAAATAAGTTTTCATACAAATCTGAGTTCTCTTCCAAATAAATCTTTAACACTAACATAACATTATTATCTGCTAACAGCGGTGATGTTTCCAATTGGCCACTTTCTGATAAAACAGTATGTATCACAGACAGAGCGTCTTCTCTAGTATCGCCATTGACAAATTCAGTCAACAGCACAAACTGACCCAGCAGCAGGCCCCGGTCAGTGGGTTCTCGACTGTCCACTTGGAGTCACCTTCACCCAAAGGATGGTGTCAGTCAACCTTCGAATGTAATTCCCAAAGGAAGGAATTTTTGGAAAGCTCTTCTTTGGTTAAATTATTTCAATTATTTTTGTACATAATTTACCCCGCTGACTGTGGGAAATTCTTGTTGATTGCCCTTTGAGTTTTCAGCATAATGGTTTTTTTCGAATGAGTTGCTCAGACTGATACAGTTACAGTTTGCATTTGAGAAGCACAGGGAGAGTTTCCTTAAAAAGCACCTTGAGGTTGCAGGCACAAAACCAACAGGAGGAAGGGTGGGGACCCAACCAGAACGTCAAAACACATTTACTCCCTCCAACATTCATTTCCTTTTCCTAAGACTTGGTCCTGGAGAAAAAATAACACTAGAAAAATGCAAACCACCTTCGGACAGCATCTTAGACCAGCCTGCAGACGCGTGCAGTGCAGCGGGCGCGGGGGGCCGGGCCGGGGCGGCGCTCGCTAGCTGGTCGCGCCCTCCGGCTCGCTGCAGGGAGAAGGCGCCGACGAGGCCTTGGACTCGCCGTCGCTGTTGCATTCGGCCCTGCGCGGGGAGCCGGCGTCGGCCGGGCCCTCCTGCCCCTGGGCGTGCCGCTCCAGCAGCTCTTGGAGGTTCTTGATGTAGCGGATGGCGGCGCGGAGCGTCTCCACCTTGCTGAGGCGCCCGTCCGCCAGCTCCCGGGGCAGGTGGTCTCGGAGGCGCGCATACCCCTCGTTCACGCAGCGCACCCGCTGCCGCTCGCGCTCGTTGCGCTTGCGGAGGAAGGCGGGCTCGAAGGCGCCGTCCAGCGGCAGGGGTAGGCAGGGCCGACTGGGGGCGCAGCCCCG